ATTATATATTAATAATGCTTATTATTAGTAATAATAATTATTATTATTATTAAAATACAGTCAGCCAAACATATCAATATAAAGAGTCCATATATAACCGGTCTACAGCTGCTGTAATGCCAAGCACATTTTTGCGCATGTGACGAGGATTTTTCCTTCGATATGCGAACACGCATGAAGCCTGGTCTACATTATAAATAATAGTTTAACATTGAAATACATTGCGAATATGGAAACATTGGATTTGTGCCGAATGAGAGAGGTACGTGAGCCCAACAGTACTTTCAGTTTCACTTTGTTTTGGTTTCTTTAGCTTTATACTTTTTTCATTCTTGATCTGTTCTGCATACCGTTACATTTAAATGATTTGTTTTGGAGTGAGGGGAACTAGACTGTTTATAGTGTTTATACATTATAATATTTCACTTTATTTTGTATTTCTGGTTTTATTACACTCTCTCCAAACGTTCTGCTGCTCACAGAAGAGTGGAGAGAGTGGGTTAAGCCGTAGCACCAATCTACGAGAGCGATTTTTAATTTAAGAAAGCTGATTGGTCAATAATATTTTGAGGACCAATACATAATCAACAAATCATGCTCCAAATACATCTACATAAACCCGCAATCGCTCCGTCTTGTATGCACGCACGCACTAATGCGTAAACGTCTTGTATGCACGTCACGATCTAATGCACTTGTTAATGCCGGATCTTTAAAAACAAATACCGGAACGCAAAAATCCAAAATCTGACATTTTCCAGAACAGGATCCAGCTCAAATTAAGAACTGGGTGGGTCTCTGTCTGATCTTTAGGGCCTTCACTAATCATTATGCTGATAATCGAGTAATCTGATAACTGTCTTTCTTTTTTTTTGTGGTAATAAAAATAGACCTAAGTGAAGAATAGCTTTAAAGTGACTTAAATGCATATAGTAATGAGGCAATAACAGTTAGTTCAAACAATGTATCATTGCTCTTTTGTTGGATTGATGGCTTCTATTGTCCTCATTTGTTAGTGGCTTTGGATAAAAGCGTCTACTAAATGTAAATGTAATGTACTCGACACGGGCAAAATGCAATGGAGGATCTTTTCAAATGGCGTGCTGGTAGATGACGGCCGTGTGTGTGGTGTGCAGGTGCAGGGCAAGGATCCGTCTGTGGAGATCACGCAGGACCCCGGGGACGAGTCTGAGGAGGAGCGGTTGGAGGACATGCTGGAGAGCGGTCACCCGCTGGAGCTGCCCCCCTGCGAGCCGGGCTGTCTGGAGGAGCTGGAGGAGCTGGTGATGTCCGTGCTGCCGTCGCCGGTCCGGCGGGAGAAGCTGGCGCTCGCTCTGCTCAGCTCAGGGTACATCAGGAAGCTGCTGCAGCTGTTCCGGACGATCGAGGAGGAGGGGGACCGCCGGGGCCTTCAGCAGCTGCACCAGATCGTGCGCGGCCTGCTCCTCCTCAACAAGGCCACGCTGTTGGAGGTGATGTTCTCCGACGATTGCATCATGGACGTGGTGGGCTGCCTGGAGTACGAGCCGGCACTGCTGCAGCCCAAGAGCCACCGCCAGTTCCTCACCGAGACGGCCCGCTTCAGAGAGGTGATCCCCATCAGGGACTCGGAGCTGCGGCAGAAGATCCACCAGACCTACCGCGTGCAGTACATCCAGGACATCATCCTGCCCACACACTCCGTCCTCGAGGACAACTTCCTGTCCACGCTGTCCTCCTTCATCTTCTTCAACAAAGTGGAGATCGTCAGCATGCTGCAGGTGCGTCGCTTCACACCGTTAATTGAAAACTATGGCGCTGCGGGACAGTAGAGTAGCTGCACGATAAATCACAATCACGATTAGACAGAAGCTGTGATAGTCATGTGTATCTCGTCAGTGAAGCAGGGTTCTGTGATCAGCAGTAAATCTCCATCTGAAGGCCAGAGAAACTCCAAATACACCCCGCAGAAGAAACCCAGGCAATCCCTATAGCACTAGCTGAATAAACAGAAGATTTCACTGCTTTCACTGATTCAGCGTGGCTAATAAACACACAACTATATGATTTATCTGAGTTCTTATTATGATAATGCAATGCTAATCGACATAGCCTTTATCACTGCTTAGAATATTATGAAATATGTTGCGCGTCTTATTCTGTGTAAGAAGCCACATCATCTCACAGAAGGATTTATTTCAAACACTCGACTGACGTTATGAAGTGAGTTTGGAGTAAAAACGTTATTAAATGTGGTGCTTTCAGATGGAGCAGCATTTACTACACAGAGCCGTAGTTCACTGACAAGCTACACAAACAGCTGTCAGTATCATAGCAAGATTTCATAATCATGTGATTATCGTGTGTGTATGTCGTTTGAATCAGATTTAAATTCTCCGCTGTAAGACCTCATGCATAATACAGCGCAGTGATTGGATCATAAGAGTTTATTCTCATGAATAATACTGAGAAAAGCTCAGAAACTGTTCCTATGTGTTAACACCTAAAAAAAAAGTGTTCTAGAGTTTCATGACTAGGGTTGCAAAATTCCGGGAATTTTCAAGACTGCAAACTTTCCATGGGATTTAATGGGAATAAACTGGAAATTTGCAAAATGGCAGGAACTGGGGACTTAAATGTAGTTGAGAAAAAATCTTGCAGCATAATCTTGGTTAAAACAACCTGATTTAATGCAATTTGAGTTTAATTGACAAGCTACACAAACAGCTGTCAGTATCATAGCAAGATTTCATAATCATGTGATTATCGTGTGTGTATGTCGTTTGAATCAGATTTAAATTCTCCGCTGTAAGACCTCATGCATAATACAGCGCAGTGATTGGATCATAAGAGTTTATTCTCATGAATAATACTGAGAAAAGCTCAGAAACTGTTCCTATGTGTTAACACCTAAAAAAAAAGTGTTCTAGAGTTTCATGACTAGGGTTGCAAAATTCCGGGAATTTTCAAGACTGCAAACTTTCCATGGGATTTAATGGGAATAAACTGGAAATTTGCAAAATGGCAGGAACTGGGGACTTAAATGTAGTTGAGAAAAAATCTTGCAGCATAATCTTGGTTAAAACAACCTGATTTAATGCAATTTGAGTTTAATTGCTACCCTACACACTGCTCAATCACATGCACACAGCACACTGTTTACCGCAGGGCTATTGAGGCCACACCCCCTACACGCACCGTGCTTTCCTCCATAACATGAACAGATCATTTCTTAAATCCTGCATACACAATATCAAAATGTCCATCCTGGTAAGTATTCATATAAATTACATGAATATAACAAAAACATGTTTAAAACTTCCTTGTGCTGTGTGTAATATACTGTGCAACTAAAGGCTATACCATTGTAAAAACAAATATACTGACTGAACAAACCATAGACTGGAACAAACATTTAGGTGAGATGATAATAAAAAAAGAAGTCTAAAAATGACCCTCCCCACACACAGTCCCCTCTGGTCACCTAAGAGATGATTCCCCTGCACTTTCTCTGAAGCCACGCTTGCCGCATTTGAGCCCAAAGACTTCATCTACGTTTTGATATTCTAAATATATTTGATCTATGGGATTCAAGTTTAACTAGTAAATACCAAAAAGTGTTTATACAGTAGCTAGCTAGCCAGTAAAATCAAGATATGAAAAATCTAAGTGAGTTAGCACTATTTCAGTGACAATTTATGAGGTATAAACTAGCTCAAGCTGTGATGCTCTTTCTGCTAGCCAGCTTTCTGTTATCATACAGGAGTACAGTACTGGTCAAAAGTTTGGAAACATTTCTATTTTAATGTTTTAAACATTGCAAATCTTTTGTTCATCAAGCCTTCATTTATTTAATCAATAATACAGAACAAAACCGTAATATTGTGCAGTATTACTGGTATCACAATTTTCAAAATAATGGTTTTCTGTTTTAATATACTTTCAAATATAATGTTTTTCTGTGATGCGAAGCTGGTGAATCATTACTCCAGTCTTCAGTGTCACATGATTCTCCAGAAATCATATGTGCTTATTTATAATCATTTTTGGAAACAGTTGTGCGGTTTAATTTTTTATTTTATTTTATTACCTGTTATACTTTTTTCAGGATTCTTTGATGAATAAAGAGTAAAAGAAAAAAGAACGGCGTTTATTTAAAATGGCAATCATTTTTTAACAATACAATACCTTTCAAAAGTTTGGGGTCAGTATCTCTTTTTTTGAAATAAATTAATACTTTTATTCAACAAGGATGTGTTAAATTAATAAAAAGTAATAGTAAAGACTTGTATGGTTAGAAAAGATTTCTATTTTGAATAAACACTGTTCACAAGTTTTCATTAAGGCTGCACGATGAATCACATAGTTTTCATTCATCAATAAATCCTGAAAAAAGCATGACAGATTCCCCCCATGTACAGAAGATTTGACGTGACCTGCAGTGGCGATAAAACCACAACCAATATTATTGCAATATAGTTTTCCGAGATAAAACGATAACAAGAGTTCAATAAATGTTTGATATAATGTTTAATGCACCAAAAGCGGAACAAAACAGCGCTGCTTATTAGGGCTGCAACAAATGATTATTTTGATAATCGATTAATCAAACAATCGTCGATTATTTCACTGATTAATCAGTAGACTTTGATTATTCAGCTTTTACAATTAGTTAAAATATTGAGTTAATACATTCTAATAAATGAATAAAGGTAATCACTTCAGCTTTTGAAAATCATATTATGTAATTACAATTATTTTGCAATTAATTTATACAAATAAATATATTTGCCGCACAAAATGAGATGATAGACAGAGAAACTCTTATTCACCATTTAATTAGCTATATGAAAAAGTAACTGAATGACATGATTCTGCCTAACATCTCCCTTTGCAAGTCATATGGATAAGAATCAAAATAAAGGTAAGCGATAAGACGCTTTATTTTTGGATAAACGGTTTTATTCACAACTTAATTTCTCTTAAAATACCTTCTAGGGTTATGATAATCAAAACAGTCCTGAGCTAGAGCAAGCTTTGATCTCTCATCATATCACTGTAATCCGATGCTTTCTTAACTGCTGCTTTCTCACTGCGGTCAGTTTTTTGTGTTGTTGAGAGGAAAGCGTGCGGCATATATTTACATATTGATCCAAACGCCACTCAGCAGCTTCCGGTTCGGCTGCGTTTGCTCTGAAGCGCTGCTGTGTGTGTCGTCTTCTCTTGAAATGCATCAGAAGAGCTGAATTACAATATTGCGCTACAGTGGTCAAACTGCATTACTGCAGGCTCTTACATTAGCTCACATGACATCAAGCAACTGCTCGACAACAAAAATATTTCTATGTCGACTAATCGTTTCAGCCCTACTGCTCATTTGACCTGCGCCACATGGAGCGTCTATCCACTTGGCTCAAAGTTCAAACGGCAGCACAGCGGTTGCGAGCTCACTAGAGCAGATGCGTTTACTCGCTGATGAGTCTCGGTCATGCGACACTAAACAGCGCTGTGAGATCCAGTGTGAAGCGCTTGCATTCAGTGAGGAACACAAATGACTTAAGACTTTTCAATCTACAAATCAGCATCTTTTACCATGAGTTTACTGTAGTAACAACTGCACCGTGGTACTGTGGCAGAAATGTGGGGGTATTCATATCGAATTTTATTATATTATTAATGTAGACATCAGTAATGATGATCTATGAACGGCTGTGATTATGAAATGCCTGCTGACAGCACGGTTTATCTGTGCATTTACACAGAACTATACTCAAACTGCGATCGCTCGCGGAGATAATAAATAATTCATTTCCATAGAGTTGTATCTATTTAGATGTTTATTAGCGAAATAATGGTTATATAGTAAATGTTAATACAATTTAGGGTGTTTTAAACAAGTGAATCGTGTTAAAAGTTACATGCGGTGGCTGTGCTTGAGCATCAACCACATCAACCCGGTGAGTGAACAGCAATATGAAAGCGGCTTCACGAGACTAATGATGAGCACAGACAACAGAGAGCGAATTAAATTCGGCACTTTTATTTCCAACATGCACCCATTCATGGCTGTATTATTTAATTCACGCAAAGTTACGTCTTTATTGGGACAGGACTTGAGGAATTATTTTACGTGAATCCGTGAGTTCGTCGAGCCAAGCTGCATAAACTGCATATCAGGCATTTATGTAATACATCTCATTTGTGCATTAATGGCTGTTATGTTAAAGTTTACTAACTACAGTAAATCAAGTACCCGTGCACGCCGTTGTTGTTGTCTTGTTTCCCCTCGGATGCGCTGCAATGGTGATCCTGCGCGCAATTCTCAAAACATGCACAAGATGGTGGCGTTTATCTGTGAATCAGATATTACAAAACCGATATCCAATTATTGTAAAATGCTTAAATATCGGAGAAAATATCGGTAAATCGATATATCGGTCAATCTCTAGTTTCAGTGCTGCTCTCCTGCTGTGTGTGTGTGTGTGTGTGTTTCAGTGCTGCTCTCCTGCTGTGTGTGTGTGTGTGTGTCAGTGCTGCTCTCCTGCTGTGTGTGTGTGTGTGTGTGTGTGTCAGTGCTGCTCTCCTGGGGTGTGTGTAACGCTCTGTGTTTGTGTGTGTCTGTGTGTGTTTCAGTGCTGCTCTCCTGCGGTGTGTGTGTGTGTGTCAGTGCTGCTCTCCTGCTGTGTGTGTGTGTGTGTGTGTGTGTCAGTGCTGCTGTGCTGCTCTCCTGCTGTGTGTGTGTGTGTGTGTGTGTGTCAGTGCTGCTCTCCTGCGGTGTGTGTAATGCTCTGTGTGTGTTTCAGGAGGATGAGAAGTTCCTGACGGAGGTGTTTGCTCAGCTCACAGATGAAGCTACAGAGGACAGCAAGAGGAGAGAGCTGGTACATCACACTCACTCACTCTCACTCACACACACACACACACTCACACACACACACACACACACACACACACACACACGCCAGGGGTTCACGCCTGTCCTCTCTACGTCTGCAGGTGAACTTCTTCAAGGAGTTCTGTGCTTTCTCACAAACGCTGCAGCCACAGAACAGAGACGCCTTCTTCAAAACGCTGGCCAATCTGGGCATCCTACCGGCGCTGGAGATCGTGATGGTGAGTAGGGATTGGGTGATATGGGCTTAAAAATATATCACAATAATTTCTGGTATTTATTGCAATAACGATATCAATGATGATAATTCAGGGAATCCTGTTTCTTTAGAGAAAAGTAATATGTTTCCTATTTTTACCCAAAATATGGTGTTGTGCGAGCATTACTGAGTACACACGTAAAGACGGTTTAATTCATACTGGAAGCCGGAGGGCGCTCTTGCACAGAAACTCCATGTATACAGATGACAAGAACACTGACAACGCTCCTGGAAATCTCTAATATGGACAAAGGCATCCAGATATCGCTGAATAAAACGCAAATAGAGAAATTTTAACTGGGGAAACTTGAAGACAATAAGCATACGATTGCACAAATTATATGGTATGTGTTCTTCAAGCAATCTTTGGTATTTTTATAAGGAAAGTATATTTATAATGCAATGCAAATCGAGATAGCCTTTATCACTGTATATAATACTATCATTCTGTGATATGAAACCACATCTGGTCACAAAAAGAAGTTATTTCAAACACTCAACTGTTATGAATTTAATTTGGAGAAAAAGCATGTCAATAAATTATATCTTTGTTGGACAACAGGTTTGTAAACAGACTCATACACATGCAGAACTGTATCACACATGTGCTACTGTAGTACATTTATTCAGACAGATTTTTTGTGCACTACACAGCCCTGACTAAACCAGTTCCAGATTGAAGAAGGAGCTCCCCGTTTAGCAATAAACTCCTCCTCAATTTCACGTCCGCCATGTCACACAGAAATGTCAACATGTCGTTATCACCACAGGAAGACTAATTCTTACCGTGGGGAGAATTGTTACTGGTATATGTCAAAAGATGAGATCTGGCCCCTCGCTAATGGTGAGTGAGGCGCTCCTGTCCTCCGCTCGGCTGATGTGTGTGTGTTCTGTTGAAGGGCATGGAGGACGAGCAGGTGAAGTCTGCAGCCATGGACATCTTCTCTTACCTGGTGGAGTTCAGTCCGTCTGTGGTGCGCGAGTTCATCATGCAGGAGCCGCAGCAGGCCGACGACGTGAGTATCAGCGTCTCTCTGTGTGTGACCGCAGCACTGAACCTGTGCTTCAGAGCAGGAGAGAGCCCTGCAGACGTTATACACGCGTCTAACTAATCACTCCAGCTCTTGTTTAACAATAAGCAGATGTTTGGCGTGAGGGCCAGACGATGTGACTGTGTAATGTTGTGTAACGTATGAGCATGAGCAGGATAAAGACATTGATGTGGATCAGAGCTGAAGTGTGGATGTGTCATGGATTGATGAGCTGCAGATCATTGAAATACAGCAGCAGTTCCTCATCTGTGGCGGTTCGGTTGCTGTTTAATGCTCTACTGGTGCTGAGTGTTGATGCAGATTCTGATTCACAAGCTCTCAGCTCCACTCTGCTCTGGATTAATTCATTTAGAAATATTTCAGGCAGTGTCGCTTTTGTCTTAAAGAAATAGTTCACCCAAAACTGAAAATGGTCGTCATTTACTCTCGTTCATATCATTCCAGACACAAGACTTTAGTTCATCTTCACAACACAAATGAAGATATTTTTTTTATTGTTGTCCATTCACTGAAAGACAAAGCAGAATTCCAGAATTCCACACATTAAAAAGAGTAACATTGTAAAAGAAATCCATATAAATGGAGCTGTGCAGTCCACACAGTTTTAATCTAGGCGTTTATAATCATTGATCAACATGTAACTTCATTAATGGACACTCAGCTGTACTTGTGTGTGTGTGTGTGTGTGTGTGTGTGTGTGTGTGCTGATCAGTGTTTATATGTGAATATTAAGGCTGGTCCACGCGTTCTCCATATTTATGCTGGTGAAGTAATGACTGAATACAAAAATACAGGAACAGAGATAATGGAGTTTCTTGCTGAAATCATTTACAGAATGACTCTTGCTCTCATGACGGATTTATTCAGACATACATAAAACCATTAAGACATCACTAACAGGCTAAGTAAAACATCATTCTGTATTTTGACGTCTATACAGGGATCTGTCACAACACAATAAAGAGCACCGAAATGGCTTCGTGATAAAATGACCAGAATGTAAAATGTGAGACTTGAAGCATTGCTACAACCATGTTTAGTCTGGCCTTATTCGCCTGTCAGTTGAAAACAGCTCAGATAAAGAGATCTAATTTTGGGATTTAAGAGTTGAAGTCACAGTGCATCATGAAGCGGGTGTGTTTGTGTTCAGGACGTGCTGCTGATTAACGTGGTGATCAAGCAGATGATCTGTGATTCGGACCCGGAGCTGGGCGGTGCAGTGCAGCTCATGGGGCTCCTGAGGACCCTCATGGACCCCGAGAACATGCTCGCTCCGGCCAGCGTGAGTACAGCCTGACACGCTCTCACAGCTAACACTTTCACTTCTGACTTGCCAGAAACTCACCTCCCTTTCCCAAAGTTCACACTTGTGCCTGGACGAGCAGAAGAGCATCCTCAGTCACTTCTGTGTGTGTGTGTGTGTGTGTTTGGACAGAAAGCAGAGAAGAGTGAGTTCCTGAGCTTCTTCTACAAGTACTGTATGCACGTGCTGACGGCTCCACTGCTGGCTAACACCGACGAGGAGGACCCAGGTGAGACACGCACCTGCTCTGCTGCTGCAGTGAGCCGTCTGTGAGCGCACATATCAACACGTGTCTGTCTGTCCACAGATCTGACGGAGGGAGCGGCTAAACCCAACCCCGTGTGTCCAGGTACCGTCTCCTCTCACCTGAACTCGCTCCTCTCCCGTCTGCTCGAGAGGTCTTCTCGGGACCTGCATGAATTCTGTTTTTAAAGAAAGACCTGCCCCGAGACAGACCCTGATGAAATTAGACCCGAGTCCGAGTAGTGCTGGGAAAATAAATCAATGAATGGAGAAATGATTCGGCATCGATTCTGAGATTTTCAAGGGGCGTCCCCCCCCCCCCCCCCCCCCCCCCCCCCCGCGGGTATAAAAGGAGAGCGCGTGCAAACGCACGTGGAGTTAATTTTAATTTCTCTATAGTGCCAGATCACAACAGAAGTCATTCAAGGTTACCTTTCCTATAGAACAAACTACCGGTAAATAGCCTTATGTTATTTATTTTATTTACACGATGGCATGTCATTTCTGTCTGTACATGGTCGCGCATTTACAATTCTCCTCTGCTCTCTGTATCGCTCGCGCACACACACACACACACACACACACACAGAGAGAGAGAGACACGCACACATAGAGCTCGCGCACACACACACACACACACACACACACAGAGAGAGAGAGACACGCACGCATAGACACACACACACAGAGAGAGAGAGACACGCACGCATAGACACACACACACAGAGAGAGAGAGACACGCACGCACAGACACACACGCGCACGCCCACGCGCACACACACGCACACACACGCGCGCACACACAGAGAGACACACGCATACACTCACAGACACACTCCGAGAGAGAGACACACACAGAGAGAGACACGCACACATACACACACACACACACACACACGCAGAGCGACACACACACGCGCACACAGACATATGCGCACACTCTCTCTCACACACACACACACACAGACACACACACAGAGAGAGAGAGAGACACGCGCACACAGACACACACGCGCACGCCCACGCGCACACACACGCACACACACGCGCGCACACACAGAGAGACACACGCATACACTCACAGTCACACTACGAGAGAGAGACACACACACAGACACATGCGCACACTCTCTCTCACACACACACACACACAGACACACACACAGAGAGAGAGAGAGACACGCGCACACACACACAGAGAGAGAGACACATGCACGCACTCTCACACACACACACACACACATGCACGCACTCACATGTAGGGCTCTTTGATTTCTGCGATGCGGAAAACAAGGACCGAATCGCAATATCCAGTCATAAAAATAGAATTTACTGCATTACGTGGAATGTCACGGAATTTGTCAAACTTTAAATGAATTAATCAAAAGTAGGTGATTAAACTTAAATATGGACTAGTATCTGTAAATATTAAGCCATAAACAGACTATTTAAACATGAATCCTGCATGTTCTGTGTCTGTGTTAGTGAATGGTGCAGATGCACAGTTTTGTTTGTCGTGTTCACACTGCATGATTTTAGCTCTGATTTTCACTCTGCGACAGGTTTTGCGAAATCGCCATCAAATGCCCGAAATCAGAAGCAAATCGGTGCTCATTCACGCGAGTGACAATCACGCAGTGCGAATTATCAAAGACGCGATCTGAGAGAATCGCCAATGCATCGCAGACACCCGTGAAATATTTGGCATGCTAAATATCTGGAGCTGTCGGCGATTCACAATCACGCTGTGTGCAATGAGTTCTGACTGAAACATACATCAGTGATGACCTACAGCCAATGAGAGAGCAAGATACAGCGCAGCGGGGCGTTCCGGGAGGACCTTCATGAGCATTTTTCTGTTTCATTTGAGTAAAACTAGCCTCATATCACACACTAATGTAAAGATATTCACGGCAACCCGTCAAAGTGAAAGTTCGGTTTAACTTGAAGACACTGTGCCAGAGATATTGTTCAGTAGAATGCACATGATACTATTAGTAGTACTACTAAAATTATTAAAACTTCAATTTTTATGGAATAATCACACAACATTTCCATGTTTTATTGTTTATAGGAAATCCCCTTTGTTTGCCAAAAAAAGTTAAATTTTCAATAATTAAAAGATAAATGAAATGTATTATGCCTTCATTTGATAACCAGAAGAATTTAAATACATTAGACATGCGAAAAGAGAGAAATTGGTAACAATAAAACATAAGGTGAGAAAAAAATAAAACATTTTTTTTTTTTAAACCTTTAATAAGATTGTGAAATTGTATGTTTCATGATTTTAATTAATTAGACATGCTTTTTGATTAATAAAATTTAATTCAAAAAATAAAACCGATTTCATTGGGCCCTACACAGGTGAGCACACTCCCACGAGCGGACAGAGAGCGCGCGTCAATCATCCTCATCCCCCCCCAAAGCTGTAAACCTAGGGGAAACACTGGATAGCCTAATAAATCATGGATTTAACAACGTTATTTACCTCATCTCCGCTGAAGGGCTTCTGCGCACAAAAAACAAGAAGCCCTGCATGCACACTCAGAAAAAAGCACATTTATTTTAAAGTATCCGAGACCCGACCCGTGTCTGAGGCACTCGTAGAGGTTTTGGACCCGAACCCGCTCTCGGATCTAAGTGGATCCGTGAAGACCTCTAGCCTGTCTGTGTGCTGTGTGTCAGATAACTTCCAGACGGCGCAGCTGCTGGCTCTGATCCTGGAGCTGCTGACCTTCTGCGTGGAGCATCACACGTACCACATCAAGAGCTACATCATGACCAGAGACCTGCTGAGGAGGGTGCTGACGCTCATGAACTCCAGGCACAGCTTCCTGGCGCTCTGTGAGTATCCTCACGTCAGGGAACTAGGGATGACCCAAATTACAATTCCTGTCCCAAACCGAACGAAATGAAACACTGAACCGAGCGCGTGTTTTCCCCATGCATTTTGCTAATTTTTTCACCATTGCATAAAGTAGCCAAAATGTGCTTTTTACTGTTTTCAACAAAAAAATAAACTACAGAATAATTAAAAATATTTAACACTAAAGATTTTTTAACATTCTAGCAGACATTATACCAACAAAGCACAATTTAACTTAAAATTAATAAGTTAGTAAAACAAATTGAGACCCTCTTCTTGAATCGGGCATGTGATTGGCTAAAGACATATAAGAATGAAAACTAGACACTTTAAACGGCAAATCAGCATATTATTCAGCAAACAAAAAATCTGTATATTATACTGATTTCTGAAGATCATGTGACACTGAAGACTGGAGTAATGATGCTGAAAATACAGCTGCACATCACAGAAATACTTTACATTTTACTAGGGATGCACGATACCTTTTTTTCCAGAACCGATCCGATACCAAAAATTCAGAATATCGTCCGATACCGATCAGATACCAGCAGATTTTTTTTTTTAAATAAGTGTAGAATTTCTATACCTCAGTGTGTTGACTTGATCATCACTCTTGTGTGTTAAACACAATCTACTAAATAGACAACTTCATTTTAAAGACAAATAACAATTGAAAAAAATATATATAATCATAACCTATGACAAAAATACTATTATAAACTAGGTTAGTGAATAATTCAGCAGCAAAACTATTTCTAGAAAAATCATGAGTGCACAGTAATTTGATCAAATCTAAACATTTAGTGAAATAACATTATTTAGTGGGGAACAAATATAAGTGAATAAGTGTAGGACTAAATCTGGTCAAATATTACATTGCTCTTTGTTTTGTTGTAAAATACATTCATGAAAATTATTGCTGTTCTTAAGCGCCACCTGCTGGCAGAGAGTGAATCTGCATCTCATTCAGCTCATCTGCTGTTTCATTCAGATATGCTTTATGTAGTATAGTTTTTTGCTTCAGACTAAGTCTAATTTAGATTAAAAACTTGCTCATGCTGCATCTTTGTTTGGATCATGATTAAAATGCAGTGGTTTCCTCTAATTTTAAATGGAAAGAGCACAGACAACACCTTAGTTTGTTTATATGAAGATATTTATTTTATTTGTGTAACTTGCTTATTTGATTTGGGGTTTGTTTTAAAATGTCAATTCAGTTTTGTTATATTTCACTTTCACAAAGAAACGTGCAACAATAGCCTAATAAAACGACACCTTCTCATTTGCTATTTTCAGCCAAATAATGTTGGTTGCCTAACATTGGGTGCATCCCTAGTGTGAACCACAGTGATAACTGATCATGCGTGTGTGTGCGTTTGATCTTCAGTAACAGCTGGCCTTGAGTGATCAGACGGTAACAGCAGCGTTAGTAATGCAGGATGATTGTGAGCTGCTCATGTGATTGTGCAGGTGCGCTGCGCTTCATGAGGAGAATCATCGGCCTGAAGGACGAGTATTACAACCGCTACATCGTGAAAGGAAACCTGTTCGAGCCGGTCATCAATGCGCTGCTGGACAACGGCACCAGATACAACCTGCTGAACTCGGCCATCATCGAGCTCTTCGAGTTCATCAGAGTGGTGAGTGCAGTCTCCTCTGACCCGCTAGGACTGCGAATCCAAAATCAATTCCAATTCCAGAATGGGATACTTAAGGTCAGGAACCGGACACTTGTTGTGAAATTTAAATTTAAATTCCACCTCTCAATTCCAGTGTGCGCATCTTTTATTTTTAGGTGGTGGAAAGGGGCTGTTAAAAATGTATTTGTCTCAATTTATCATGCAGCTCTATTTTGCACAAAAACAGCTTAGTCGAGTCCAGTTTTTATGCAGCCGGCTGATGTTTGTTAATGGTATTCAGCAGCAATTTAAATGTTTTGCAAAAAGAGAGACAGAATAAATATGTTTGATATCTAAATGTTTGACTTCATTTTTGTAACCACATTGGAATCGGAATCAGAATTGGAATTGATCAAATTCAAACGATACTAGGGCTGTGCAATTAATCGCATGTGATAGTCCTGCGCATCTCGTCAGTAAAGCGGTTCTGTGATTAGTAGTAAATCTCCATCACCTGCTTTCAGATGGAGCAGCATTTACTACACAGACCCGTAGTTCACTGACAAGCTACACAAAACCACATTCATAATCGCAGACGATTCATTGCACAGCCCTAAACGAGACCCAACCCTACTGAGCGCTGTGCTTCCGTCATCAGGAGGACATCAGATCTCTGATTGCACACATCGTGGATAACTTCTCCACGGCGCTGGAGTCCATCGAGTACGTGCAGACCTTCAAGGGCCTGAAGGGCCGCTACGAGCAGGAGAAGCAGCGGCAGAGCCGAGGATTTAGCAGGTGCCTTCATCCAGAAACACTGACTGACGCCGGGTTCACACACACTCCGTCGGCTCCGCTGCTCTGATCCACAAACACAACATTTATCCTGATTTCAAATCCAGACGCTGCTTCTGAAAATGCTTTCTCAGCATTGTGTCTCTCTTTTATCACAGTACAGTAATACAATCTTTCATAGACATTCACGTTTAAACTCAATAAATGTAAACAATGTATTACTCAATACATTTGACTTCTAGATTTGTATATTATGAAGTCGCTCAAGCAAGTGGCAACACATTTAAACGCAGCATATAGCCTATTTGTCTTGCGTTAACAGTAGGGATGCACCGATCCGATACTCAGTACTGGTATCGCTCCGATACTGGCATTTTCTGCTGGATCGCACTGCAAGCGGAGTGTGTGTGAAAGGTATCCTCTCTCAGGTATCGCAGGGACGGCCGCTCCTTCCAGGAGGACGAGGACACGTGGCTGAACGAAGACGAGGAAGATGAGGGTGTCACAGACAAGAGCAAGAGCGACTACGGGACGTTCATGGAGAGCGAGAAAGGTACGTGTGCACTCTTAATCCTGCAGTGATCTTTATTCACTCTTCTACAAATGAAGATCTTAAATTAGAGTCTTGAATATGGCCTTAAATGTTGCATTCACTGCTAAAATGAATCTCTTCCTCAGTATTTGGTCTTGTTTTCCAATACGAATACCTAAATATCCTTAAATCAAGACACATTGGCTGGAGATGTAAAGTTTTGTTTTCTGGTAAATTAAACTAAATTGAGTTTGTCTCAAACCAGAGCAAATATCTGTCAGTGGGGAACAAAAACTTGTTTTCTCTTTGAATACTTTTGCCATGATGCTTCTCCAGTAAACAGATCTTGCTTTAAGAATCTGTAGACATTCGGGTGTTCAGAAGTTACAGTAAATTTATTTCCATGTTTTAGTGTTTTGAGCAGAGCTATTCAAGCTTTTTATTTTATTGTAAAGTAATGGAGATCTGTTGGAATCTGTATTTTTCAGACTTTGAAGTGTTACTAATAAGACATTTGTTAAAAGACCATATTGATGTATTGTGTTCCATTCAATTTATTTCTTAAATTATCTTTACGTGGTCTTAATGTGTTTAAAAGGTCTTAAATGAGGCATGATAACTCTAAGCTTATAATCTGGAAGTGCCTTGTATTTCCCGTGAGTCTGTTTGGTTTCAGTGAAAGAGAGTCAGGACAAGGAGAACCAGCCCAAGCGGACAGCAAGCGGCAGCTTCAAGTTCAGCTTCTCTCACTCGTCTGGAGCGGCTAACACGGCTAACGGCTCCAAACCTCCTTCCTCCGCCTCCTCCAGCAGAGCTGCAGCGCCACCTTCAGGCCAGACGGCCCGGGTACGCCACGCACCTTACATCCACTCACACGCCTGCATTTCAGTCCCGCTTAACCATTCCTGCGTTCACATCTTAGTGTGATTTTGAACGATTTAAGTGCAGGAAGGGAAGAACTTGCGCTCTGTTTGCGTGCAGCGCACACGTCTGAAGCACAGAGATCAGAGAACAACGTTCGTTCTGTTCACTGCAGGAAAGCTTGCTCTGAGCCGAACTCACTTCTTTCATATTTATCGACCAGCGTGCAGAAAACGACATCAGTATATAGGGCTGGGTATCGAGTTCGATACTTTTTAGACACCGACCGAATTGCCTCGATACCATCGAGTATCGAAAAACGTTTCGTCGTTCGGTACCAAATTTCGATACCTAAGGGGTTAAACTCATCAGCGTCCGTAAGGCGCAGATCGATCAGTGTTTGACATCCGCGAGAGCGAT